CGCTTCCTCGTCGAGCGCGCGGTCTACGGGGCCGAGTACTTCGACATTCTCGATCTTACCGCTTTTCGATACGACGAAACGCAGTACGACCCTTCCCGAAACGCCGTTTTCGGCGGCAATCGTCGGATACCTAGGTTATCTTTCAGGTACTTGTTCAGCGCCTGCATACCGCCGGGGAACGAAGGCATCTGCTCGACCGTCTGGAATACGGTCTCCTCACTTCTTCCTGCGGCGTGTCGATCGCGATCCTCCTTCAAGTCCTGGATGTCCGTACCGAACAGGTCGTCGTTACCTTCACGTCGGCCACGGAAACCGCAACTTTCGCACTGATAATTTCTTCCTGCGTCTTCACGTCCTCCCGATCCGCTTCCTCCTCGTCTTTCACGATCTTCGGAGCGGTAAACTTGATAGAGCTCTTCAACGGCGTTGGGGCGGAGCGTCCACCTTCTTGATCACATCGTTATTCTTCACTTCCGGGGGCGGCAGTTTGGTCAACTGCGTCACTTCGGTCATTTTGACTTCTCCCGTTTTTTCGGAGCAATGTAGCGGAACAGCGCGGGCAGCGTGATAATCAGCACGACCAGGATCGCTACGATAATCATTGCCTTGTTATGACGGGACGTCGACTCCTGACGCATCTGAATGCGCCGAATTCGGTATTTTTCCCGTCGAAAACTAATTCGCACCATTGCTTCGATTCAAATCCAAATCACTCATTTTTTTTCGATTTAATGTGTACTATTAGTTTTGCGCCATTTCACTGTTCTTGCCGAGATCGCCGGCCGATTTCAGGTTCTTGATCAGCCACAGGTCGCCTTCGGCTATCGGCACGATAGCGTAACGGCTGATGTTGCAGATCTGCATTTCGTCCAGCGCGTCGATCAGGTTTTTATAGGTCGACTCGTCGGTTCCCTTGATCGAAACGACGGGAGCGTTCTCGTCTTTCTTGATCTCGGTGGACTGCGTCTTGAACTCCTCTTCGGTGATCTCTCCGTCCAGCTTCTTTTTTCTTCAATTCGTTGATCCGTGCCACGACGTTGGCATTACGCGCCAGCAGAACCGCACGCAGGCCGTCCGGAGTGTAAGTCGTCTCCTTGAGCGACGTATATCCTGATAATTAGGTTCTCCCAGGTAATAATAAACCTTGTCGTCTTCTCCCAAAAGGAGCGTAATGGCACGGGATGCCGCCACTTCGTCTGCATATCTTCCTGCGTATCTTTGGTCGGCATACTAATTTCCATCGTCTGAGGCTTGCTCAACGAGGTACAAAGCATAAAGAACGTAATGAGCAACATGTTCATATCCACCATCGGGGTAAAATCGACCCGGATGGTCATCTTTTTCTGTTTGCCCTTACCCTCCTTACCTTTGCCGCTGTTGTTTTCTTGTATTTCAGCCATAATATTTAAATCTTATGCGACGGCATTAATTGTCTGTACTGACCACTTTCAACGTGGTGATCAGGTTGTACCGGTTTTCCCGGATATCCTGAAGCGACGTCATAATGGTATGATGATAGGATAGGCGTAGCCTGATCCGCCTTGATGGCGATCCGCAGATCCCTGTTCTGTAACGGGCATTCTTGACCACGACTTCACTGATGTCGGTGCTGTCGGTCGGAATCCCGTAGTCTTTCAAAATCTTGTCCTGCTCGTCTTCGGGCAGCGCCAAGAAAGACCTCATCTGACCGATGGGCACCCCGAACGACGGAGCCAACCTGAATTTGTTGACTTCTTCGGGCGTGAACGTGATCCGTACTCTTCACCCATTTTCTCCAGAACCGCCACGCGGTCTTCCTGCTTGTCCATGCTCATGAACACCTTGCCGTCGTTATCCACCAAAATCTGGAGAATATCGGTTTCGGGTATCTTGATCTCCATCACGGAAGCCGGGGTCGAAACCTGTATCGGCTCCTTCTGGATGAAAGTGGACGTAAGCATAAAGAAAGTAAGCAAGAGCACCGTCACATCGCTCATCGCGGTCATGTCGATGAATGTTACTCTGTTTTTTTACTTTTACTCTAGCCATAACGAGAAGTAATTTTTTTTTAAAAGTTAGGCTTTATGCGTTGCAGCATAAGTCTGAACAATGGTAAACCCTACTTCGTCGATGCTATAGGTGAGTTTGTCGATTTTGCTGGTGAAGAAGTTGTAAGAGATAACGGCCAGAGCACCGGTTGCGATACCGAAGGCGGTGTTGATAAGGGCCTCGGAAATACGGCGGACAGCGCTACGGAGTCCGGAGAACCGGCGGTTGCCAGTGCGGCGAACGACTTGATCATACCGATAACGTTCCGAGCAGACCGATCAGGGTACCCAGCGTGGTCATGGTCGCGATAACCACCAGATTCTGTTGCAGCGACGGCATTTCCAATGCGGTAGCTTCGTCGAGCTCTTCTGGATGTTCATCAGTTTCTGCTCTTTGGCCAGCGTGGTGTCTTTTTCCATCTCTTCGTACTTGGTCAGCGTAGAGTAAACGACGCTTGCAACGCAACCTTTCTGCTTCACGCAAAGTTCGCGGGCTTTAGCGGTATCGTTCTTGTCGAGAGCTTCCTTCACGTTCTTGACGAATTTGGTGACGTTGCCTTTCCTTTGGCCTTGGTGATGGCGAACGCGCGTTCGATACTGAGCACGATCACGGTCAAAAACAACGTCTGGAGAACCGGCACGATCACGCCCCCTTTATAAATGGTACCCTTGAAGTTACCGGCAGCGGGTGGTTGTTCGGGTCGTTATTCATAAAGTTCGCGGGATCACCCAGTACGAAGTGAAACACGCATACAGCTAAAATAAAGCAACATACAATAACCAGGAATGCTGATTTAATGCCTTTTGCCGTTTTAAAATTTACTGCCTTGGCTTCCATAATGAATAAAGTTTGAGTTTTGTTGTTAAAATTTAGTTTTATGTTAAAATTAGTTGAAATTTCACCCCCTCGCCGACCGGTACGTTCTCGCGATTCAACACAAATGATGGCAACATGCTTCCGCTCTCCAATTCCGCCGCTTCCAGCCCCGCACATTGTCATCACTCTAAAATCCCGCACCCCGTTTTTCATGGTCAAGTACCTGCGCCTGTATTGCTTTCGTTAAAAAAACTTACGATTCCCTTTCCGCACCATACCTGTTTTCATCCTTTCAATAACGTTTAACGCGCTGTCGGCTCGTCGGAAACCGCACGAAACGCATGAAATTTTGAATCATCACAACTTCAAAAGTACTAAAATTTTCAAACTACACAAAAAAAGATATCTTATTTTACAAAGCCCTGACGCTGACACAAAACGGCCGTTCCTCTCCAAACGGAGCATAAAATACTACAAATAAGAACGATAAACACTTCCGTCCCATACCTTCCGAAGTGCTTCCGTAATAGAAAATTTACAATTACCCGTACCGCCGCCACAGGTTCCGGCATATTATCCGAACGAAAAATACCGTCGAAATATTTCGGATATTCGGTGAAATTTATACGGCGCGACGAGTCGCCGTCGCCGGTCGCCGTGCAACGGCCGGCATGAGGAGTTTCGTACCCCGGACGCTCGGAAAGCGCCGGCTTCCGAAAAATCCGGTCGCCGCCATTTAAAAAAAATTTGTATCTTGGGTGCTGTTTTCCATAATCATCCGAAGAATATGACCGATCTTTCACACTATTCGACCTCTTTCTGGCAGGGATGACGGCGCTGGCCGTCGTGGTTTTCATCGCGCTGTTTTTCGTCCGGGCCGGGTACGGCATGTTGCGCGACGGGAAATGGGGTCCGAAAATCGACAACCGGCTCGGCTGGATCGCGATGGAAGCCCCTGTTTTCATCGCCATGTGTATCCTCTGCCTCTGCTCCCCGCGCCGCGGCGATGCGGTATGTCTGGTCTTTTTCGGGCTGTTCCAGCTCCACTACCTGAACCGGGCGTTCGTCTACCCGCTGTTGTTGAAAGGGCGTAGCACGATGCCGCTCGGGATCGTACTGATGGGCGTGACGTTCAACGTGCTGAACGCTCTGATGCAGGGCGGCTGGATCTTTTACATAGCTCCGGAAGGCTACTACACGCCGCAATGGCTGCTGTCGCCGCAGTTCATCGTCGGCACGCTGATCTTTTTCGCAGGAATGGCCGTCAACATCCACTCCGACCGGATCATCCGCCGCCTGCGCAAGCCGGGCGACCGCAACCACTACCTGCCGCAGGGCGGCATGTTCCGTTACGTAACCTCGGCCAACTATTTCGGCGAGATCGTCGAATGGATCGGATTCGCCGTGTGACCTGGTCGGCCGCCGAGCGGTATTCGCGATCTGGACGTTCGCGAACCTCGTACGCGCGCCGACGCCATCTACAAACGTTACAACGAACTATTCGGCGAACAACTGCGCACGCAGCGCCGCAAACGGATTATCCCTTATATTTATTAGCACAACGAAATGAAAGAATCGCTGTTGTTCACTCCGTGCAAGATCGGACCGCTGACCCTCCGCAACCGCACGATTCGCGCCGCCGCCTTCGAAGGCATGTGCGCGGGCAACTCGCCGACCGACCTGCTGTACGACTACCACCGCAGCGTCGCGCGCGGCGGCATCGGAATGACGACGTTGGCCTATGCTTCGGTAACGCGCAACGGTCTGTCGTTTCCGCATCAGTTGTGGCTGCGTCCGGAGATCGTGCCGGGTCTGCGCCGGATCACCGACGCCATCCACGCCGAAGGCGCCGCCGCCGGAATCCAGATCGGACACTGCGGCAACATGTCGCACCGGGGCATCTGCGGCTGCACGCCGCTGTCCGCTTCGTCCGGATTCAACATCTACTCCCCCACCTTCGTGCGGGGGCTGCGCAAAAACGAAATCCCCGGAATAGCTAAAGCGTTCGGCACGGCCGTGAAACTGGCCCGCGAGCCGGATTCGACGCCGTCGAAGTACACGCCGGACACGGCTACCTGATCAGCCAATTCCTGTCGCCGTACACGAACCGGCGGCGCGACGAATACGGCGGATCGCTCGAAAACCGGATGCGCTTCATGAAAATATGTATGCAAGAGGCGATGGAAGCTGCCGGCAGCTATATGGCGGTGCTGGTCAAGACAAACATGCGCGACGGCTTCCGCGGCGGGCTCGAAATCGACGACTGCATCGAAGTGGCGCGCAATCTCGAAGCGTGCGGGGCGCATGCGCTGGTACTCAGCGGCGGATTCGTCAGCCGCGCGCCGATGTACGTGATGCGCGGACAGATGCCGATCCGCACGCTGACTTACTACATGAAACAGTTATGGCTCAAAGCGGGCGTCAAATTGGCCGGACGCTGGATGATCCCGTCGGTACCGTTCCGCGAAGCTTATTTTTACGAAGATGCGCTGCAATTCCGCAAAGCGCTGAAACTGCCGCTGGTCTATGTCGGCGGCCTCGTGTCGCGTGAAAAGATCGACATGGTGCTCGACAGCGGATTCGAATGCGTGGCGATGGCTCGCGCGCTGATCAACGAACCGGATTTCGTCAATCGGATGAAAGAGCGGGGCGAGTTGCGCTGCGGTTGCGAGCACACGAACTACTGCATCGCCCGGATGTACTCGGCCGAAATGGCCTGCCACCGACACCTGCAAGGGCTGCCGAAATGCCTGCAACACGAAATCGAACGAATCAACGCACGACGATGAACGCACAGCAACGCCCGACGCCCCTGGCCCTGGTCACCGGGGCGAGTTCCGGAATCGGCTACCAATACGCCCGGCTGCTCGCCGAAAAAGGCTACGACCTGCTGCTCGTAAGCAACGAGGAGCTACGGATCGCCGAAGTGGCGCGGGAACTCCGTCGGCAGTTCGGGGTACGGGCCGACGGGCTTTGCCGCGACCTGTCGCTCGCGGACGCCGCCGACTCGCTTTTCGAATACACCCGGCAGCAGGGGTTCGAAGTGGAGGTACTGGTCAACAACGCCGGCGTATTCTTTTTCGACGATCTGACCGAAACGGACAGCCGCCGGATCGAACGGATGATCGGCCTGCACGTACAAACCGTAACGATGCTTTGCCGCTATTTCGGCGCGGCGATGAAAGCGCGCGGCAAAGGCTACATACTGAACATGTCGTCGATGTCGGCCGGTATGCCGTTCCCGGGCATTTCGGTCTATGCGGCGACCAAAAGCTACCTGAAACAATTTTCGAAAGCGATTCATAACGAACTCTACGATTACGGCGTACGCGTGACGGCGGTTTGTCCGGGCGCGGTAGCCACCGACCTCTACAACCTCAGCGGGCATTATCAGCGGCTCGGACTGCGGCTCGGCATCCTGATGCGGCCCGAACGGCTGGCCCGCAAAGGATTGCGCGCGCTGTTCGCCGGACGCCGGTGTGTCACGCCGGGCGCGGTCAACCACCTGTTCATGCCGCTCGCGGCGCTCGTTCCGTCGCGGCTGATCCGGCTGATCAAACGTCGTGCAAAATTTTACCGCTATGGAAGATAAGCCGTTACACATCGTCACCGGAGCCAGCGGCGGCATCGGCCAGGCGTTGACCGAACGACTCGCAAAGCAAGGATACCGCGTACTGATGGCCTGCCGCAATCCGGAAAAATCGGAACCGATCCTCACGCGCATCCGCAAGCGGAGCGGCAACCCGGAAATCTCGCTGCTGCCGCTGGATCTGGGCTCGCTGGATTCGATCGCCCGCTTCGCCGCAGAACTGAAAGCGCGGGGACAAAGAATCGACGTCCTACTGAACAACGCCGGAACGATGAACGGCACGTTCGGTCTGACGGCCGACGGCTTCGAACAAACCGTCGGCGTCAACTGCGTCGGAACGGCCGCGCTGACGCTCGCCCTGCTGCCGCTGATGCACCCCGGCAGCCGCATCGTAAATACGCTGTCGTGCACCTACCGGATCGGCCGAGTCGACGGCCGACTGTTCGAACCCGATCCGGAGCGTTACGCTCGTTTCCGAGCTTACGGCACTTCGAAACTGGCCCTGCTGCTATTCTCGCTCGAATTGCGCGAGCGGGTCGCCCGCCAGGGCATCGGCGTTTTCGCAGCCGATCCGGGCATCGTCGACACAAACATGATTACGATGCACCGTTGGTTCGACCCGATCGCCGACCTGCTGTTCCGTCCGCTGATCAAGACGCCCGAACAAGGCGCCGAAACGGCTCTGCAACTGGCCTGCGGAAAGCTCCCGGTCAGCGGAAACAGCCTCTACTGGCGGAACGGCAAGGCACGCCGGATTTCGGATTCGGTCGTGAATCACCCCTGTCGGAAACATCTCTGGAAACAGATTTTGCAACTGACGACACGAGCGATTCCCGAAAGAAACTTATTTTCGATCTTTAAAATACTAAAATCAATCGAATATGACTCTTTCATCGCTATGGATGTCGGCGCAAACGATCGTGGCCGACTCGACGCACAAAGAAAAATCGCGGAAAAACTGACCGCCCTGTCCCACATGTCGGGAGAAGAAGTCATTAGCATGATCATCCGGGGCGCCCTCGACATCTCGGCCCGTATCCTGATCGCCCTGGTCATCCTGGCGATCGGCCGCTGGATCATCCGCTACCTGAAAAACATCCTGCGCAAAATGCTGACCAAACGAGAGGTAGACGCTTCGCTCAAAGTTCCTGATGAGCCTGGTGAGCATCTCGCTGACGCTGTTTCTGATTATCACGATCATCACATCCTCGGTATCGACACCACGTCGTTCGTCGCGATCTTCGCATCGGCCGGTCTGGCGATCGGCATGGCGTTGAGCGGTACGTTGCAGAACTTCGCAGGAGGTGTGATGATCCTTATATTCAAGCCATTCCATGTAGGCGATTTCATCGAAGCGCAGGGACAGACCGGCACGGTCAAAGAGATCCAACTATTCAACACGATCATCAACACGCCGGACAACAAAACGATCATGATTCCGAACGGCGGCATATCGACCGGCATTATCAACAACTATTCGAAGGAGAACCGGCGCGCGTGGAGTGGACGTTCGGCATCGGTTACGGCGACGACTACGACAAGGCGAAAGCCACGATCGCCGAGTTGCTCGAACAGGACGACCGGATACTTCCCGAACCGGCCCATTTCATCGCGCTGTCGAGCCTCGGCGACAGTTCGGTTAACATCGTCGTACGCGTATGGACCAGCACCGACAATTTCTGGAGCGTCTTTTTCGACATGAACGAAAAAGTATACAAGCGCTTCGCCGAAGTCGGGCTGAACATTCCGTTCCCGCAGATGGACGTACACCTGCATCAGAAAAGTTAATCAACATATTATTAAATCGTTATGCTAAAAAAATGGGTCGATATTGCTATTGCTCGTTGCAATAGTGACCGGTTGCAAAAATTCAAGGAATTCCGACAAATCAAAAGTTTTTCGGAATTTCCTTTAACTGATTCGATTCGACTGACCTCTTTGCAATAGCCGATTCGTTAAGTTATCCCACACGCATCTACGATTACGATTCGCTGTTCGCATTCAAGGATCTGAGCAGGGAAAACCAAGTTATCCTTTTTTCAAAGAAAACAGGGCGACAGCAAACCATCGTCGCAAAAGGCCGGGGACCTTATGAACTATTGGGAGCTTGGTCATTATCAGCTCCGGATTCGTCAGGAATTTTTTATTTCACGACGTGGTTACCTCTGAAATCATGCGGGTCAATTTGCCCGAAGCTTTACAACAAGCAACCGGTTACGCACAAAAAATGCAGTTAAGGGAAGATCTGCTACCGATGGAATGCATCGCTCGAACGGAAGACTCTTTGTTTGTCGGCACGGGTCGTTTCGAAGATTGCCGGGTAATCAAATTCAACAAAAGGGAGAAATCAAAGCGAAAATAGGCTGTTCTCCGCAAATATCTTCTGCCCGAACAGCCAACCCGCAGGTTAATCAGGCTTTCTAGGCGTCGTCAAGGCAAGTCCCAACAACCGGTCGTATGCAATTGTATGTAGATATGCCGATCAAATAGAGGTTTTTCATTCAAATGATACGACTCAGGCTTTTTTTATCAAAGGACCCATGCTTTTCGAACCTAAACAAAAATTGTCAAAGGGAATGTCGGACTGGAAGCCGAATGTATGTACGGTTATGTAGATCTTGCCGTTACGGATCAATGGATCATCGGATTGTTTTCCGGACGCACCTTATCGGAAAA